ACCTGCTGGCCACACTTCTGATACAGCCCAGAATACGGTTGGCTTTATTTGTTACATGTTCTTCAATCATAAGCTGGTGGCTTTCCATCATTAATTCAAATTTATCCCATGTAGCTCTTAGGTTACTGATAGTGTCCAAACCTGCACCTGCCACAGTTCGCAACAGTTTGTTTTTATCTTCAGCCTCTTGAAACAGGAGAAAAATCTAAATTCAAACAGATTAAAAATATGTGTGTATATAAAAGTTCAGCAAACCTTGTTTATCCAAACTATAAGCAAATACATAAGAATTGTCAAGTGTGAGTGCACAGATTATATACTTATATAAATCTGCTTTTTTAATACTGCTCATAGAATAAGATAAAAACACTAGAAAAAGTAGTAGCTGAGGTATTTAGAGAAATTTTGAATCTTGATCCTGACATGAGATATACAGAAGTGAGTATTTACTATGAAACAGTAAGTGCCTCTACATACTGCAGAGATCCACTCAATCAGGTTCAAGAACAGAACAACAGAAGTCAGTAACTACGTACACGTGTGCTGGGTCGGGCTGGAATGGAGTTCCTTCTTCAAGGCAGCTCATATGGTGCTATGTTTTAGATCTGTGATGAATACAATGCTGACAACACACTAGCGTTTCACCTATTGATGAGCAGTGTTTACACAGCATCAAGGCCTCATTCTGTCCCCCCACTCCCACTGAATAGATTGGGGGTGTGCAAGAGGTTGGGAGGGGACACAGCCAGACAGAGATACTCCATGCCATGTTTTGTCATGTTCAGCAATAAAATGGGGTGGAGCTCAGGAATAGTCTGGGCATCAGTCTATCCATGGGAGACGGCGAGCGATTGCCCATTTGTTTTGTTCTTTCTTTCTTTCTTGTCTGTCTGCCTTCCCTCCTTCCTTTCTTCTTCTATTTTTCCTTCACTTACTGAACTATTTTGATCTAAATCCATGAGGCTTCTCACTTTTATGTGATCTTTTAAGGACTAGATCATTTAATCACAGAGGTTTCCAGAATTATTTGAGATCCCTTAGTCTATCCCATCTGCCTTACATCCACTACACTGAAAGTTATGAGTCATCCCTATGTTCTACGACATTTCTGCCAGCCTTATATAGAGCTCTCAGATATGCCAGCACATCCCCAAAACAGGAGGCACCTACGTATGAACAACTTCATTGAGCTCTTAACAGAGCTAAGAAATCAGCTCAGGAGGATCAGGCACAAGGTGTCTACGGTAAAACAGATTGCTCTAGGCTATGACTACATTCACCAGGGACTTGATGTGCTTTCTCACAAATACGTCTAGGGCACTCCCTAAGGCACTCCCCTGGCCTCCACTTGCAACCACAGGAACAGAGAGGCTCCCCAGAACGCCTGTGTTACATCTGCTAGTCTTGTGTGGGTGTTGGATGTGGATCTCTCCAACTCTACAACTGCACTGTGGGCAACTAAACCAGAATTCTGCTGAGTATATTAACAGGACACACAGTGCAGGCACCTGCACACACACATCTAAACTCAGATGCATTCGTTAGAACTGCATCTTTTTCTGGATAAGCACTGTCCCGCCTGGAAGAGTTAATATGGCTTTTGTAGAATTCCACAATTTTGTACTACCAGAGTTCTTTAAAGGCATCCTTATGGATGGGTATGGATGAAGGAAATTGAAACTATGTATTCCAGTCAGGTTTCCAAAAAGCTTTTAATACAAACCCTCACCAAAGGCATTTAAGGAAACCTGGTAAACTTGACATAAAAGCCTTGCATAAATAACTAACTGGGTGAAAGACAGAAAACAGAGAGAAGAAAATGGCTAGTTCCTGCAGGAGAAAAAGGTCACCCGTGGAGTTCTGTAGGTACCTGTGCAGGACAGCTCAAGGTGTTTATAAAAGAGTTGGAAAAGGAGACTAACCTCTGGCATGATAAAGTTTACTGGTGATACTATGTTATTCCAGGTATTAAAATAGTTCACCTGTGAAGAACTGGAGAATGAACTGAGAAGAAATAGTGACTGATGATACCAGAGACAAACAAAATACAAGTAGGTCAGCTGCCCTGACCCTATACGGCCACTGCATGTACTAAACTAGTTATATTAATTACGTTTCCATACTAGAAAGCAGTGACATTTTTTGACAGCTGTTATTCTGTATATGATAAAATAGTATCTTACCCCTCCCTTTTGTTCATGTAGGTTTAAATATTTTAAATTGTCCTCTGCTATTTCCTCTACAGTCTGGGGCCTAATCACTAATGTTTCCATGGCATCAGTGAGAAATGAAGAAACATCACCTAGATGAGCTATATAAAGGTGGAAAATAAAGTTATCATGGAGAAAATATTTGCAGTAAGAAATATCCAAGTCAGACAAATGTACTGTGATACAAGATTGTCATATGATAGTGTATGCAAAGTACCAGCTTGCAAAATTGCAGACCCCAATCTTATACGCTTTTTCAATAAAAATTGTGCATTTGTGTTTACACATATCTTTTAAAATGCAATCCACTGCATTCGGCATATGATTTAGACCATATGTGTCCCTTCTGAGAATTAAAGGTAAATACATAAGGCGTTTGTTTATACACTTTCAAAATCTGTATAGGTCTTTTTTGGGTAAATGGAGAAAAACAGAAGTTAAAATTGCTTTTGGGGTTTGCGTTTTTTCTTTAAAGAAAATAACAAATTAATGCCACCTTGCTTCAAATATTGAAAAGACTCACAAACAAAAGCCTGATTAGGCTATAAGGTATTTGTCTACCAAGGTAGATCTTTGTGGTGCTGAGAAAGGAGCTGTACAATTCCAGGGAATAATACATCTTCCAGGAAACAATTCATCTTTCAGGAAATGAAAATAATTCACTTTCTGCACAACCCCTGTTTTCCCGTGCTTTACATCTAAAGCATAAAGCACCGGTATTTCTACACCTTATTCCATTTTGTCTACTTGTTCCAGACATAGAGTGACCACCCAAAAATAAGGAAATATTTTGCACTCTGCATTTTGACAATCTAAGTGACTAGTAACTTTATGGAATAACTATCTGTAACTCTTCATGAACTATTTCAATTTGTGAAAGTAAAATCTACTATTTTTTAGTTACAACATTTCATGATGCCTCTTTCAATTACCCTCAAATGCCTAAGAAATTTTCCACCCTCAAACACCAATTAAATTTTCCTCCCTGAAACGACAAAAACGTTTCCTTCAGACAAAAGAAACAAGGAAGATAATATGTTTTCTTTCACATCCAGAACAGATGTGGCTAAAACAAGTGAATGAGAAAGATGCATGAAGACATCAAGGAGTCTTAGGTTAGGCCATTACTAACAGGTTACTTTCTCTGCACTGTGATTTCTGCAGCTCACTGTGCCTGAGAGTAAAGCATTTCTTAAAAAGAGTATTTACATTACACAAATGTCCACAAGTACAACAGAAACAAACAAAAAGTCCTATTCATTGAAGTTATTTACCTTGAATAGATTTTCTCAAAGAAATGACAAGAACATCATACAACTTCTGGATGAAATCATCAATTACAGTTTTCACAGGGTTGCAATTAACAGTTAAACAATCAATCCTGATCGTGCTTCAAGAGAAAAGATTAAAAAACAGCAAATATTCAGTAATATACTTACATGTCAGGATCTTTAAGATCTATATGCGACTATAGTTTATGCTGATTTTGTACCCTAATTAGAAAAGATTTCCCTCATCATCAACAAATAAAAGTCATAGCTTATTGAGAAAATTACTCATAGTATTGAAATACTCATAAACATTATGCATATATATGAAGTTTTATTGGTACTAAGGTCTAATGCTCTGCTCCTACAAATGCTTGATTTTATATAACATGTCATTAAATTCAAAAGGACTACTTCTACACTCAAAAAGAAAAATGTTTTAATGATTTTTACAGTCATGTCTTTAAATCAATAATTCCCATGATAACTTACTAACCCAGACTTCAAAAGTCCTAAGAACATGAGAAGAGGTATAGTGAGTCATTTCAAGGCCCCATATCTAATACCTCACAGTGACATGGTCACAGTAGATGCCTAAAGAACACTAAGAAAAAGGGCTACCTTATTTGATACCTTCCTGAATATCCTCTCTCAACACCAATTATTTTCAACTCACAGCACTTCATAGCCGTGTATGGTTTCTGCCCATAACACACGTCATCCACTTTCTCTTCTATTCACCAGTCTTTCCTTGAACCCAGGAAAATCTTTAATACTCAGGATATCACTTAGCCAACAAGTTCTATCAGTCCCTTCTCCTGCATGAAATGTTACCTCTTCCTCCTTCATCTGAACATGATTCCCACCAGTTTCATGTGAGAACCATGCAATATACTAAATCCCATGTGAATATATGTAAGAATAAAAGCCTACACTAGCATATCTTAAGCTATAAGAGGTAATCAAGTGTTTCAATACTGGAATTATTTCATATATGAGCATTCGCTAAGTCTGTTCCCTAACTGCCACACATACTCCACGTCTACAGGACATAGCTAAAAGAATTGTTTTGTAGTATTTAAAAATCAGCCCTGATTTTTGAGAGGGTTTCCCATAATACCAAAGGAAGACACCAAAAGTTTTCAGAGAATGATGTGCAGATACAGCGGAGTGTCTAAAAGTAAAAGCAAAAATCTAAACATTTGAAAAATACATTAATATTTTAAAGACACTTGAAATTCTATCTGTATCTCCACATTAAAAAGAATTATTTCTATTTTACTACGGCCTTTATGTAATAGAAGACATTATTTAAACAAAAGAACACTATACCTTGGAAGACGTTCTGCTTCTTTCCCTCTCACTTTCAATGCTTTGAAATTCTTTTCCCAGTCCTGTTTGCTTGAAAGATGTGTCATCACCAGAGTTTCCACATCTACTTGGCCAATGACGATCCAATCCTTTCCAACATTATTTTTTTTATTTCATGGAAAAGAAATTTTTTCCAGATTAAAAAACTCTGCTTCTCAATAATATTAAAATACTTTATTTAAGTTTTCAAGTTACATTCTCTTTAACCTTTGTGATCCTTCAGTTACCTACAGATTCTCTTAGTGCAAAAATCAGGAGGTACAAAATGGTTTGACATATTGACACATTTAAGGATAATCTACACGTATTTTGAACAAGAGTATAAATACAGCTGTAATGCTGAGTTTTCAATGGGAACTGAACATATCTTTCAAGCTAGGTATGTGCTTAAGTGATCGGCTTAACATGGATGGACTTACAAAGCTTTTGCTTATATGCCTTGCAAAAAAGGACAATAACGCACAAATGTCATTGGCCAGTTACTTCTAGAATGTTTGAAGCCTAAAATGACACAAATCTTAAAAAAAAAAAAAAACCATAAAAGCATGGGTCAGTCATTGAAAATACCTTGAATTGATTTGAAACATCTGTCAGTCTTCTGAACAAATCCTCTGCTTTACCGAATGCAGTCAGAAATCCATTTGCATTTCTTTCAGTCATAACAGTAAATATAGACTCTGCCTCTGCTTCACTTACTCCCCTAAACTGATTCGGAATGGAGATGAATCTCTTCATTTCTCTATAATATCTCGCTCGTACTTCTTCAAAAGGAGGTCTGAATTGCAACCGGCCTTGCCTAAAAAGTGAAACAAATCATACAAAAACTAATATTTGAATGTAATCTGAGCCAGAATACTTTCTGAAGAGAAAAACAGAAAATAGCTTACTTAAATGTTAGATCAACATTTATTTCTGGTAAATTCTCATTGAGTGCTTCTAAGCCCATTTGATACTGATGCTCCAGAGCTTTGTAAAGTTGGTGATTCCAGTGCTGTCTCCAAGCTTTCATATCACATGATTTGAAACCCTGAAATTTAACAATGTTTATTATTATTTTATTCCTTAAACCATAATTGTAAGCTGAAACTGAGTACACTACAATGCCTGAAGTATCACAGCACTGGAACAGGCTCCCCACGGAAGTGGTCACGGCACCAAGGCTGTCAGGGTTCAAGGAGCACCTCGACGACACTCTTAGCCATATGGTTTAGTTTCAAGCTAGTTTCCCTGCAAGGAGCAGGGAGTTGGACTCAATGGTCCTTGTGGGTCCCTTCCAACTCAAGACATTCTTTGATTCTACAACAAGTTTAATATTAAGAAGATCTAGATCTATTACATTTGTTTCAAATTAATACAGGAATAAAAAATATCCAAACCAAACCCATCTCTATGACAGTTCAGTATAACTTCACTGAGGTTCATCGTCCATTGGTTTACTATGATATTCTTCAAAGCATTCTAAAATGCACGTGACTGTGCTAGAAATAAGATACAGAGTTGGCAGAATGAGAGATAACCTAACCCTAGCCATATCATACACTCAAATCTGCAAATGGTCACTTGTAAGATATCCAGGAATTTTCGAAAGGACAACACAGGTTAAAAAAGAAATTAGAAACTTCTTCCAGTTAAACAGGTTCTATTCTTATTTATTTGGATAGAGATTTTCAGCCAGGGCTTTGGAGGCAGTCCAAGGGTGTTGCAGGAGGCTACACAGTTAAGGTCTGCCCCACAATTCAAGGTGGCCCAGAGGAACTCTTCCAACAGAATGATTTCAGAAATTAAAACGTGCAATTACCTTAATTAAGACTTTAGATGATTATAAATAGGGTCTTTAAAAAAATATGTAAAATCTTGATGACAACCAGCAGTAAGACTATACCATCGTGTAATTTTGGATAGTAGAAAGAGGTTACAGTTGCTTAAGTTTTATTACTTCTAGTCAAGGATAAAAAAAGGGACTGAAAACAGTTTAGTTAATTGACCATATAAAATAATCTGTAATACCAAAACAATTTTCAAACAAATAATTGGAGTTTGCATTAGAAAGGCTAAGAATCATAGAGTAGTTTTGGTTGGGAGGGACCTTAAAGACCATCTAGTTCCAACCCCCCTGCCATGGGCAGGGACACCTTCCACTAGACCAGGTTGCTCAAAGCCTCATCCAGCCTGGCCTTGAACACTTCCAGGGATGGGGCATCCACAGCTTCTCTGGGCAACCTCTTCCAGTGCTTCACCACCCTCTCCATGAAGAACTTCTTCCTGATATCTAATCTAAACCTCCCCACTTTCAGTTTAAACCTGTTACCCCTTGTCCTGTCACTACAGGCCCTTGTAAAAAGCCCCCTCTCAGCTTTCTTGTTGGCCCCTTCAGGTACTGGAAGGCTGCACTTCAATCATGCTTTGTTTCTGTCTTAAATCTTGACTACAGCTGAAAAGTCAAATGTTCACAATTTGCAACATGATAATGAAATACCTGTGACTCAAGGCTGGCAAAACCAGTTCTGAGCTCCTGGAGTCCATCTTTCCAACGCTGCTGCTGCCGAAGTAGATCAATATTCATGAGCGATATAACCTGTTTAAAGAATTTTAAAGGATAATAAACATATTAATCACCACATAAATGAAAGAAAAGGTGAAGTTAGCTATAACAGCTGTGATTTCAATTTCACCTGGAAAATATACCTTTTCAATGAAGTTTGTGTGCCACTTTCTTAGTTTTCTATTTTCAGTGGAAAGCCGTTCAGCAGCAGCTTGGAGTTTTTGGATATAAGCATCCAATTCTCTAGGATTATCCCATGTTACTTGAGCTTTTCCCCCAGGACCAGCTTTTGAATGCTTGAAAAACATACAAACTTTGTAAGATTTAACGACAAATACAGTCTACCAGCTAGCACACAGGAAGTGATAGTATGAGAAAGATGGGCTTATTCCGAGTGAAAAATGGAGCACCTCACTCTCACTATTGCACTGGAGACATAATAATCTGGCAAACCCCAGAGGTGTGGGCATATCATTTTTAACTACACCAGTGCATGAGGGAAGGATTAATGCCAAACTCCTAACAGAGCTTGAAATAAATTCACTGATGCTGAAACACCTGCCCAACACGCGTAATCAGACATCTCAAGCTGAGCAAAGACCTTAAACTCGTCCTTTCTTCTTTGTTCTGCACAGACCAAAAACCAAATTGTGACACTAATATTGCTATCTGACTTCACCTGTTTATCATTAAATAAATTTTTTAATTGCACTGTAAAATTCCACTGACTCATAATCAGTTTTGGGGAGTTCCATTTCTCTGGGCTTTTTCTGAAGATTCTGGGGAGTTTATACATTTTTCTAAGTTTACAGTAGAAACTCAAAGGACAAAAGCATCTGAAGTTCCACAGCTGGACCTATTCCTAAAAGTTGTAGGACAGAAATCATATCATCTAGGATAATATGTTGTGGCTTTCAACTTCTGCACTGTCACTGTCTCAGTGTCTGCACATCGCAGGAATCTCTGGCATAATCTGCAGCCAGCCCAAGCAAAATGTAAGAGACAGTCTGGGAACTTTTTCCAGGACACTTCTGAACCTACAATTTGGTCTGGACTCTGCACCATTTTGTGTGAACCAGTCCAAACCCCAATATCCCTTCTACTTTCAGCCCCCCTCTTACACTCTGACTTGCAAGATTGTTCTCAGAAGCAAGTTTTCAATTGTTTCTGTAATACTTGCTCTGGAGGCACTATTCTCTTGCCCAATATAGAGTTTAGGGGCATCTTAAAATTCTCCAGTCGTTTTCACATTGTAAGAGTGTTGGAAGAGGGTCGAGTGCTTCAAACTGATCAAAAACAGTAAACTGAAATCCATGATATACAACATGCTTCTTCAAACATAAAATAGAGATAAAGAATTAAAAAAATGTAGTTTGTAGTATCATTTTTAAGTACATATTGTCCCTTCAAAGCAGAAAACTTAAAATAAATTTTAAAATTCCTCCAAAGTGCTCCAAATTCCTTAAAATAACTTAAAACTTTAAGTATAGCAAACTTCCTAGCAATTAACAAAAAAAAAAACACCAAACCTCTTCACAGAGCAACTATATTACGTCTGAACACCAACTTGCTGCAACAAACTGCATGCCTAAGACAATCATAGAATCATAGAATGGTTAGGGTTGGAAGGGACCTTAAAGATCATCTAGTCCCACCCCCCCTGCCATGGGCAGGGACCCCTTCCACTAGACCAGGTTGCTCAAAGGCTCATCCAGCCTGGCGTTGAACACTTCCAGGGATGGGGCATCCACAGCTTCTCTGGGCAACCTCTTCCAGTGCCTCACCACCCTCTCTGTGAAGAATTTCTTCCTGACATCTAATCTAAACCTCCCTGATTTCAGTTTATACCCATTACCCCTTGTCCTATCACTACAGGCTCTTGTCCTCTCCCAGTACCCTTGTAGGCCCCCTTCAGATACTGGAAAGCTGCAATGAGGTCTCCTCGGAGCCTCCTCTTCTCCAGGCTGAACAAGCCCAGCTCTCTCAGCCTTTCGTCACAGGAGAGGTGCTCCAGCCCTCTGATCATCTTCGTGGCCTCCTCTGGACTCGCTCCAAGTGGTCAATATCCTTCTGATATTGAGGGCTCCACAGCTGGACGCAGCACTCCAGGTGGGGTCTCACCAGAGCAGAGTACAGGGGCAGAATCCCCTCCCTCGACCTGCTGGCCACACCTCTCCAGATACAGCCCAGGATACGGTTGGCTTTCTGGGCTGCCAGCGCACACTGCCGGCTCATGTTCAGTTTTTCATCAACCAGTACCCTCCAAGTCCTTGGGGGGTACAATAATTAGGTAGATCCAGATTCTTTGTCTTAATATAAACCAGAACCTATCCACTTTCAGCTTTGCATTACACATATTCAAGAGAATTACAAAATACACATAGATTTAATAACAGTCAAAACAGTGAAACCATGCCTTCACACATTTATCTCCAGAATAATGTATATGCCATTTTTACTAAAATAGACCAAAATAGTATTATTCAGAACTTTTAAAATAGGAGTTACATTCCCAAGTATTAAGGAATTGACAACATTGTGGTTCAAGTCTAAAATCAAACGCTAAAAGTAATTGGTACAGAGCATATCACACTAATATCCAAAGTAAAAAGATGAGCAAGCAGTTGTTTACATGACAATATTAAAAAAAAAAAAAGCTCACTGATTTCAATAAGTGCTAATTAAACAGATGGCATTGCTTGTATGGGAAGGCTAAAGTTAAAAAGTCTAGCATTAAACAGAAAAAGGATGCACAGGTACCGCTGAAATTAAAAATACGAAGAGAGGAATTGTTTCACCTTAATTATCTGTTCAAATGCCAGAGCAGATTGTAACATCATTGGCTTTTGACTCTCAATCATTTGTTGATCAATAGAATTATAAAAATGTGCCACCTGTAAAAAATGGAGAGATTAATATTACAAGAACACCTTAAGTGAAATAGGTTCAGACTCTGATTTAAGCAGAACAGTTGCACTATTTTATACAAGTGTAGGCATCTAGTGCCATTTCAGAGGCATTCAAGTATCCATGACATCTGCCAGGATATGACACAAGACCTAAAGACCATCTATTTACTTCCAGATTGGGAGCTGGAGTAAGAGGGATACCCTACAACTCGATTTAGTTGTCCACACATAAATATCTAGTGCCTTTTGAGATGACTGAGAGGGTGGTGAGGCACTGGAACAGGTTGCCCAGAGAAGCTGTGGATGCCCCATCCCTGGAAGTGCTCAAGGCCAGGCTGGATGTTGCTTTGAGCAACCTGGTCTAGTGGAAGGTGTCCCTGCCCATGGCAGGGGGTTGGAACTAGATGGTCTTTAAGGTCCCTTCCAACACAAACCATTCTATGATTCTATGACCAAGGTTTCCACTTGGGCACCTGTCAAATATCCAAGCACATGGGTATCTTGTAGGTCTTGTGTCATCCCTGCCTTAGCTGTACAGGTATCTTGGGTACCAGTCACACCTCATGCAGAAGTGAATTGAGATTATGTATTTACAGACAAATTTTTAACAGAAGAAAATCTGTCATGGTGTTTCAACTGAAATATAAGCCAAATAAAAACTTTTGCAGCATTGAGACCAATCCAAAAATACCACCTCCCCACCCCACCCCCCAAAAAAAAAAACAAAAACGAAACCACAAAAATAGATTTCCATTGAAATACTTAGCACTACATTTTCAGTTGAAAATTAGCAATGGTAAGGACAAGCTGGTCCATTTTATGACGTTTTCCTTCAGTTATAATAATCAGAAACTAATACTAAAACCAGCAGACCAATGAATTACTTTTCTTATTTTGGTATATTCATACAGTAACTTCACCCGGCTTTAATATCACAACTCATTTGGTTCAAAAAGACGACACATTCCAAAACTGTAAAGCATTTCTTTAGTTTTGTTTTCTTTTAAGGACTCAGATAATTTGTTCAAGAAACAAGTAACTTTCATACAGACAAACACAGCAAACAGCTTAACCACACAATTAGAAAAGATAATAGTCTAGAAAAGTTCTACTACTGAAGCTGGGAAGTCAGAACAGGAAGCTCTTGTGGCATTTAATTTTATACCTGTTTGAGGATGACCGCCTGCTTATAGAACTTCTGCGCAGTGTTTGCGACACGCTGTATTTTAGCTGGTATAGCGAAGCCGAGTGCTGACAGCTGACGGACTTCTCTTAGGAGAGTCACCAAATGATCTGAGTAAAGTATGTTCAGTGTTCCAAAACTGTGATCCAACTCCATTACAGGACTATTAGCTTGGATGCTAATCCAAAATCAAATTAAACATATTATTGAATGTAATTTGATATTTATCCTTCCTTAACTGCATTTTATAATAATACAGTAAACAACTCTAAAAAGTTTGATGTAATTCTGTTATGTTTTACTATGTTTATTAACATTTTAATTTTCTCGGAAATTATTCCAGTAACTTTCCTCTTAGTTAAAGCCAGTGAGGACAAGAAGAAATGAACAATGCCTATTTGTTTTGCACGTGAAGTTTTTCTGGCTTGTTACAATATTCTAGACAGTATTTCTCAAATACACCGGATCCATCATACTCCCTCAAGCACGCACTTCACAGGCCCCAGCCTTCAGCACTGCAAAGGGGAAGAAATTGTCTGAGGCAATCAATCCAAAAACTAGGACTGGGATACAGTGGAATGTTTTGGTATAAACAATCAGATGCTAGTAAAAGCATCAGCCTATCTTTAGGAGGTTTTAGGAGTCTTTAGGAGTCCAATCTTTTTTTTTTCTACTAGAGTAATTCAGCTACCACCATCCTTCTAGGTTTCCTCCATAAAAACTTCAGCTTTACGTACTTTTTCACTTTTTTTCCTCATAGTTTTCTAGTTCTCTTATCCACTGCACTCCCCTTTGCAGTGAGCTACTTCTTTTCCTCTTCCTTTTAATTAATCTCTTCACATCTTCTAAAATCTCATAATAACAAAATTTTAAGGTACTAGCATGTTAGATGGCTGTCACATACTGGAGGTCTGAATCTGTTTATTTCTTATATTTAAGTGTTTTTCATAAAATATAATTTTACATATAAATATCAACTCCTTTATCCTCTGAAACAGTGGATAAATTCTTTTTTCAAAGTAAGTTTGCAGCACTCAGCTTCTGTCTGCATCTGTATGTGGTCAATCAATTAAAAAAATGCTAAAAGATATTTTAATAGGCCATAAAGTTATTTAATTGTTTAGGGGAATAGAACTCACGAGGTTTACACTGATATTCTTACCCTCCTTTCATCTGGTTCTACTTAGGCTGCAGAATTTCTTGTGAATAACAATTCATTTGTTACTCTTCATGTGCCACCTGCATATCACAGCTACACGCTAATCTCATCTGGTTTCTAGACTTTATCACCATATGGATCACAATGGACAACAAGTACTAACAACAAGAAAACCAAACATGTCTGTCATTTCAGGTGTTAATAGAAACTGCAAGATTAGCTATTAACACTGTCCTGTATACTTCACCTTACCAACCAAGCCTGGCAGGATGATGAAATAATGATAAACTCTTCCATTTTGTAATTCTGTAAAATGTTTTTATTTCCTTTGTCAAATTCTGTTGAATTCCACCACACTACAGATTTCAGCATAAACATTATTTAAACAAGAAGGTATTTACCAAAGTCCTGACTTGGGATTTGATAATTCTGACTGGATATTCCTAGACCAATCATCAAATTGGTCTTGCTCATATGTTTTTAACTGTTCCAGAAAAGAATCTGCACTTCGATGAAATGTTTGAAATCCAGGTAAGTCAGACAGAAGAGCCTCTGCCAGCTTGATGGCATCATCCACCTTAAACACAAACACAAAGTGAAGAAGCTTAACTTCCCAGTATTTATTTAGAAAAGAAAATCACCCCAATAAAATCAGTATTAAAAGCATTGAAGTGGGATTCAAAAGGTGTTTACCACTATTAAGATCCCCTGGAGTACCCCACCTGACCTTTAGTTAATTCTCCACAAAGGTACAGATCTCCCATGTGTCCTCTGTTGTATCTATGAGGTCCATACCAACAATGAAAGGTATTTCAAGTGGGATTTCACATCTACATGTGGACAAATCAATCAAAACCCTAGTGCACAATAGGTGGAGACGTGAGAGCAATTAGAAAAATAGCACAGCCTGAAGCAGAAACACAACTGACACATCAGCTGAACTGCTCTCTAGGTCTCTGCCACACCAAGCACAAGAAATAAGTTTGAAGCCTGAGCCACTGTTGTTCTCTCTGTACAACACAAAGTTAACACCTTTAAGACCTCCAGCCTTTGTCGCATTCAGCTGAAATGGGACCTTGAGATTTCTGCAAATCACAGGTGAATGCCTAAAAACTGGGCTAATAGTTATTCTGGGATAAGTAACTTCTATTCTCATTCAAATCTATAGTCATTGTAAGGGGCACTTTTGTTTACAGAAAACACTTTACTTTTTACTAATCAATACTTTTCAAGGAAAGTTCAAGAGTTTCCAACTAAAGGGGAAATACAAACTAGCAAAAATAGCATATGTTAAAATAGAGTCAAATATGTTTTAAACTCCTGTTGTAAGAGAACAAAGAATTGTCTGATATTTACTTTTACTAGAGTCTCTGTAGTAAATTCCCTGCCAGGCACCGACACAGAAAAGTACTAACAAGAAATCCCTTTGACTTCAAGGGGACATTACACAGCTTAGTAATAGCAAGTGAGAATCAGGATGTCAGAATCTGGCTATCTGTAAATCTTAAATACAATTTTAAAATGCAAACTGGAGAGTAAAATTTAACAAAAATGCCTCCTCTCAGAATTTTGGACTTATTTTTTGAAAAAAAAAAAAAAAAAATCATAAAAGCAGGCAGTTCAGTGTATTATGAAAACACTGCCTTCTGTTAATAAAATTCACCTCAGCAAGCAGTGCCACTAATAGGAAATCTCGATTATGTTACTCTTAGGAGGTCCACCATTTCTCTGTGGGGAATTCCCTACAGAAATCTCCAATACCACATTTTACATTCTATGACAACATTTTGTCTTAACAGTAATGGAATCTGTTACCTTCAGCTGCAGCTGCCGTACCCATACAATATTATTGACAACTTCAGAAAGGTTTTTGCCTGACAGTGGTCCCGAAACATCACCAGGAACACCATGGCATCGAGTTTCAAAGTCTCTCTGATAGTCTAACACAAGCAAAAGATTCATGTTAGACCAGAAACCTAATAGAACAAGCTGAACATCATTATTGTATACATAAAAATACACTAGGGATACTGACATAATTCTAAAAGTAAACAATTCCAGTATTTGCAAAAAAAAATTAACTGAATTAAATACTTTTAAATACATTTTTACCTTTGACATAATCTTGAAGTCTTGCTAGCAATGTTTCCCTTTCAAAAAGCAATTCTTTGCCTATATTTGGATGCTTTATCAGTTCCTTATATTTCTGAAATGTTTGAAGAAGCTGGAATATGAAGTTTAAAAAAAGTTACCTCTTTCTCCTGAAAAAAAATTAAATATATTCTGGCACTTGTCGTGGTTTAACTGAATCCAGCACACACTACTCATTAGCGCTGTTGCTAAGTATTGTCTTTGGCTCTAAGTACTTATTCCTGAGCTCTAAACTGACTACTTAAGAATTCAGTAACTTTATCTTTAGGAAAGTTTTCAGACTACAAAAATGCCCATACCTGCTGAGGACTGTCCTGAATTTCTGAAATAAATCTCTTCAATCTGATTGCTATTTTTTGTTCCAGAGGTGCAATAATTCGTTCATACTGAGAGACTGCTGCTTTCCATAATGGCTAGAGATATGAAGTTCATTGGTTAGTTTAGGACTAACATTCACATCATAAAAAGTCAGATAAATAATGTGAATAAATCAAAATTGAGCGTTATACCTCTGTGTAAGGATTATAATGTACAGGATTTAGGCCAGCAAAGGGTTCAAACACGTGGGCGAGATCTAAAGCATTTTGTTCTCCAGCTGGTAAAAAGAATGTAAGTTTTTCATGCAGAGTTCTAACAGTTAGCACCTATAATGGAAAAAAATATTTGAAATATCCAACATATTTTCACATAAAACTTACATTTAGAAGCAAAAAACACAAGCAGCACATGTCATCCCTCTCCTTTTTACAAGAAACTTTTGAAAGGCTCAGGCACACATGGACTATGGAATGCTAACTCTGAAAAGGCTATGAAAGTGTTTTCACTCCTTTTTTTAACTTAAAACAATGTTGTTTAACTCTGTGCCCAATGAAATAAATGTACATAATTCAAATCTCTACCTCCTCAAGACGTTTGCCAAGGTTGGCTAGCAATCTGGGGAAATACTTCTCATTTTTCCATGGATGTAGCGTATAACATTGCCACAGCTGTCCAGTTAGGTACTCACAAGCTGACACCCACTGCTCACAAATCAAGATGCCAGCCTTTAAATTTTCTTTAACACTGTGAAAAACATCCTCCCACAAATTCAAAGCTGTTAATTTTCTCTGAACATATCTTCCTAGTGAGCCACCTAGAACACAAAAAAGTACACAAAAGCAATAGGTTATGTTTGTTTAAAATAATTCCTTTAAATGCTACACCATGTTACAATCACGTCCTTTAAAAACTAGTGTAAGATCTTGATTTCAAACCACACAAATGTATCAATAACAGATCATTTTGTTTCAGATTCAATAAATCTCTTAAAAGTCTCCAAGTGTGCTGGTTTTAGTCAGGATAGAGTTAATTTTCTCCACAGTACCTGGTATGAGGCTGTTTTGCATTTGCCCTGAGAAGAGTACTGATAAGGTGTCTTTTTAGCTGGTGCTGGGGAGTGCTTGCAGCAAATTCAAGGATTTTTTTCAGCTACTGATACTTCACCTGTGTTCCCAATTTCTACAAGAAGTTGTAAGGGGACAGAGTCAGGACAGCTGACCCAAACTGACCAAAAGGGGTGTTTCATTCCGTAAAACATTATGCTCAGTACATAAGCCAGGAGTGGGCCAGGGAGCCATAACTTGCTTGTTTGCTTGCTCCCCAGCTTGTTTCTTCATGTGTTAGACAGTGAGTTGGTGGGTCGGTTGGCTCTCTCGGTTGCTCTCCCACTCATGGGGCTCGCTCGGAGTCTGCTGCGATTGCTCTTGGGCTCCAGCTCTCGGGCTCTCTGGTTCTGACCCTCTGTGCTCAGGATCTGGCTATGTGTGGGTTGGCGGGTGGTGAGCAATTG